AAGCGCTTATTCTACTGAGCCATCTCCCCGGCCCCAGGGGGATGGATTTTCCCAGTTGAAAAATATAAGGGTTATTCTCAAGTGGAGGGACTCACACCAGCAAATTATACCCTCAAGGAAGCTCAGGCCCGTGTAGGGGACTTCCAGACGACTCCTGAAAGTTGCCTAGATGGTGTGGAGTCAGGCCCAAGCGGTGTCAGGTCAGAAGCACAGGACTGAGCTTGTGAATGAGAGCTAGACACAGCACGCTGGGCCACCTAATGGGAATGTGGCAGGCAGGAATCCTTGCACACAACTTCTTACAGCCTGGCTAGTTGACTTGTGTTAGTGGCTCTTTAAATCTTAACAGGGAGGCTTCAGCCTACACCCCTCTGGGCCCAAGTCCCAGCATCTGGTCTTTCTGAGCCTGGATGTCCTCCAGGCCTTGCTCCACAGGAGATACTTGACGCATGCGGCTGGAGGAGACTCCTCCTCTTTGGCTGTCTCCTTCCCCATTCCTCTTATGTGCAGCAGGATGGTTTTGCCCGGCCTCACCCTTCTGAGCTTACAAGGCCTGGAACAGGATGCAATCAGGAGCCTTGGAGCTGGGATGGGGATGAAGCAGCTGAGAGAAGAGCAGGATACTTGTGTGGCCCAGCAAGTCTCCCTGAGGAGGAGCCTAACATGAGAGTACAAAAAGAGGAATTTGGGTCAGGCAGGAGGAAGCAGCATTAGAGTTCCCATCAACGCTGGTCTGAGTAAGCTCAGTTGCTGCTGAGGTTGGCTTTCTCCACTGGCCCTGTCTCTGAGCCCTCTTGATCTGGCAGGCTTTGTTCCCTTGACCTCGCAAAACCCCACAGTGCCTTTCTGGGGAGGTGGGGATATCACGGGCTAGTGTGGGTCCTTGCTTCAGTGAGGCTGGAAATTAAAGCCAAGTAATCAGCATGAATTTCACAAGCCAGTGCTTTGGAAAGTAAGAGACCAGAGGGAGCCAAAAGGGACACAGGAATGCTAGTGTGGCTTCCACTGGGCCATTCACAGAAGAGCTGGGCCTGGTTCTAAGGGTATACTGGTGCACACCAGGCTCTGGGGATCTTGATCTTAGTTCTACTTTTGCATGATGGTTCAAGGTGTGTCTGTGTGGCCTGAGTGGGCATCCTATCTCCAGGAGGTAACTGTTTCTGTATGGGGCACTCTCAGGTTTGTGAGGTTTTGCTGGAATCCCAGTAAGCACAGGGTCAGGACCAGAGGCTTCTGGGCATAGCGAATGTGTCTGTAAAACTTGTACGTTGGCCAGAAAAAAAAAAAAAATCAAGGGGCTGGGGAGATGGCGCAGTAGAATAAGCGCTTCCCTAGTAAGTGCAAGGGTCTGAGTTCAATCCCTGGTTCCACAAAAAAAAAA